CTTCCCACTAGCTATTTTACATTTGGTAGTGTATATGTGTCCATGCCACTCTCACTTGGTCCCAGCTTACCCTTCCCCCTCCCCGTGTCAAGTCCATTCTCTAGTAGGTCTGCGTCTTTTTTATCTTTTGGTTGTAAGCAGCTGACTTACGTATATCTCCTAGAGGAGAGGATGGTTTATAGTAAAGACATACATGGATTAGAACAGGCACACCAACAGGAACAGAACTTTTTCCATGTGTCTCATTGACCACCTGGTTTTTTTTACAGTGTGGCTGCCACTCCACACCGTGGCTGCTTCATTCTTTTCTATTAAATGGCTCATTCTTATCTAACCATAGCTTTTGCTTCCTCTTTAGTTTGCAAGTAGCCTATCATGTATCCATTAGGTGCCATTTCTACAACTTCTGAAAATAGAGAACTCCTTTTTACTCCCAGTGTAAATCCCAGAGGGCACATTACAGCCCAGCAGATTTCTAGGTCAAGCCTGTCATAAGTCATACTCAGTGCCCTCCCAGAAAATAAGGCAGGGCTATGTGGTCCCCTTCAGTTTTGTCTGTGGATCAGCAGTTTCCCCCAGAGGGAAAATTGAAAGCTTTTTAAAAAAATTAATTATTATTTTTGGGCAGCGTTGGTCTTTGTTGCTGCACGTGGGCTTTCTCTAGTTGCGGAGAGCGGGGGCTGCTCTTCGTTGCGGTGTGCGGGCTTCAGTAGTTGCAGCTCATGGGCTCTATGGTGCACAGGCTTCAGCAGTTGTGGCTCATGGGCTCTAGGGTGCATGGGCTCAGTAGTTGTGGCTCATGGGCTCTAGGGCGCAGGCTCAGTAGTACTGGCGCACGGGCTTAGTTGCTCTGCTGTACGTGGGATCTTCCCGGACCAGGGCTTGAACCTGTGTCCCCTGCATTGGCAGGCGGATTCTTAAACCACTGTGCCACCAGGGAAGCCTGGGAGAATTGAAAATTGTAGATGCTGCCACTGAACCAGTCTGGTACCATATACAACATTGGATATGGAGTTCTGTAAGTTCTAAATCTTAAGAGATAAGCAATTGAATGCCTTACCTCTAGTGGGTTTAGTACACATGTGATTAACATATGCATGTGTGGGAAGAAGGGAAACAGTGGAGATTGCAAAGGCAGGGACCTACAGAGCCTTTTTATTATCAGCTCTGGCATTAAAGCATGAGTTGTCCCTGTATCTAGTTCTAATATAACAGTGCTGAGAAGCATCAGGTAGTCAGTTTCTCTGAGACAGTTAGGGAAAGATGGAGGAATGGAGACTTCTTTTTAATGAAACATACATACTTTCTTCTCCCCTCTCAAAGGACAAGGAGTAGAATTAAAAAAGTTATAAATCCACGAAGTCAAAGAATGGAAAACGAGACAATAAGCAAGAGGTAAAGATTCTGGAAAGCAGTTAAATGAGTGGTAGGAGGAAGCCAAGTCTCTAGCGCCTCCAGAGAGAGGGAGCTTAAAAGATTTGCACTGCAGAAGCTGAGAAAGGATGAGGAAGAGGAGCCACCAGAAAGACAGCATGGTGTGCTTTGTTGGACCTGCTCGTGTAGAACAGACTTTTGGCTGGAAACGCGGGAGGGGAGTTGTCGAGGTCTGGAGTTGTTCAGGGCATGTCAACTGTGGAACTCAGTTGACCCAAGGTTCAAGAAACTCAGTGTTTACCGCCTTGGGGTCTACTGAAATGGAAGAGTCTTCCCAGGGAAGAGCAGGGCTAGAGGTGGTGCCCAGCTTTTGTAGAGCTACACTGAGTACCCTGGACCCAGGGAAACACAGAACAGGCATATAGGAAGCACACTCAATTAACCAACCTCACCCAGAGCTGAGAACTGTTCTGTGACCAGAGCCTGCACTCAGGCCATACGGCCGTTAGTCAGCAGAAGGGCCAGAACACAGAGTGGAGCACAAGGTTAGGTGTATGATCACAACTGGGGAATCCCAGAGCTCCCACAGGGGGAGTGGCCTCTGGATCCACACCAAGGGGACCATCTGTACTTGGGTAGACGTGTAAGAAGAAACTAAGTACTTAGAGGATAAAGGGTTCACCTCAAGTATACTGCAACTTATTTGATTACTGACCATAAGTGAATGTTACTTTCACAGGGATGTTGAGGAAGAGATTGGGGCAAATTAATACTTATTTAACAGATGTCTGCAGGCTACCTAGAGTCAAAGTCAGGGTTCTTTCAAAGGAAAGTATTGTTAGAGGGGTTTTAGAATCTTAAGCGAGGGAGAGCCTTGAAAGCCCTGTCTCTGAGTTTCCTTTAGGGTAGGACTAGCTTTACAACCATTTTAGAGTTTTTTTTTTTTGCTTTTTGGTTTTCTTTATTGCTATGTCGCTAGCAGGGATGGGTGCAGTTCTCCCTAAGATGTCTGCATTCATGTAAGTATTTGTAATTCTTAGGTATATGTTTTTATAGTCTAAATAACCCATGCCTTTAACCCTTACCTGAAAAGGTGGCTTAAGAAGAGGGTCAGTTAAACTTTATATATGAAACTTGGCTTCAGCCCTAGTCAAGGAACTATCCTCCTTAAAATGAACAAAAAGTTTCCAATAAAAATAGAACTAATGAGGTGAAATCTTATCTGGCACGGCTGTGGTACCTAACTGGGCTTCAGTTGGCACATGTCAACTTTGCCCCAACCAGAACCATCTATCTTCCCAACTCTAGAATCTTGAGACAAGCCTCTTACTCCTTACGTTTTTATAGCTTCAACAACAACAAACAAAAAAAGGGAAGAGGAGCTCTACAGAAAGCCAGTAGCACTTCAGCCAGTTAAGGAGTCCAACTCAGTTAAACAACTGGTATGCTCTTTTAGGGTTAGATGTTTATACTATAAAGTACTTGATAAAATTAGACAACCTCTGGGGCTTTGCCAGGTGCTGAGAACTGAACACACATAGCAGTGCCCAAAGAACTGGAAATGGATTTGTGTATCTATTTTAAATAGGCAGCGTCAGTGGGTACAGCCACATAATTAAATGCAGTCCTCAGAAAACAGTTTAAGTATATGAGCCATAAATTACTGAGCAGAGTTTTAAAAAATGAATATTAAGAAGTATATTCTTATTGGATAGAAGTTAGGAAAATTTTTGTTTTACAAAAATGAGACCATATTGGCTGAAAGGAGTCATTCTACATTACAATCTTTAGGGATGCACCCCAAATCAGAGGCAGGCTGACAATGGCAAAGGCAAGATTCTCAGGTCTGATTAGAAAAGTCATAGAACTTAAAGGGTACAGGTGCTATTGAAAGAATAGACTCCTTTACTGGATCAGGACTAAACTACAAACTGTATTATTTACTTAGGCAGATTATTGTATTTACTTATAAATACAGATTATTTATTTAGTCTCAGTTGCTCTGTTAAATAATTTGAGGCCAGAGGAGCTCTCAAGTAAATTGTTTGGGTGAATTAAGCAAATTTAGTTCCTAGATGGCTGGCTAGAAAATACAGTAGCTTGGCCCAGGGTAAGGGCAACCTGTGCTCAGAATGCTAGCAGTTGATCCCAAGACTCTACACTAATGACAGTTATAATTCAAACTGCAAGGTGAGGAGCTGCCCCCTGAAATCCTAGAAGGTCTGAAACACTTACCTTGTTCATAATTTGAAGAGTGGTGGTAATAGTTTTTATTTTTTAAATTTTTTATCCTTTTGGTTTTGTTTTGGGATTAATTTTTAGGTATTAATGAGTACAAGAATGCTTGCCTAAAGCCCTGTTCCATATATATAGTAAATCACAGATTATTTAATGAATATTAATATTTTGTGACTATCATTTTAAACATCAACCCTTTAACAATGTGGTGATAATATAAAACATAGTCTCCAGTTGGTATGTTAAGCTCTTTTCTTTATTTTTATCTTTTCTGTTAGCTTTATCTTCAAGCCAGGATGAAGGGAGACTGGGCAAGACTCTTACGCCCTACACTGCAATTTGGTCTTGTTGCTGCGTCCATTTATGTGGGCCTTTCTCGAGTTTCTGATTACAAACACCACTGGAGTGATGTGTTGACCGGACTCATTCAAGGAGCTCTGGTTGCAGTATTAGTTGTAAGTATACAGGGCAGCAGCCTACATCCTGATACTGAGAAACACTTGGATAAATAAGTAGAAAAAAACGTCCCAATGAGAAAAGTATGCTAAGGCAGAGAATGTGGCTCAATAATTGCTACTGGGTGAGGACCCCAACGTTATTAAAAGTCATTTTAGGATAGATAGCAAATAATACCTACGTTACTTACTCTTCGCAAGTTATTTAAAAATTTACTAAATTTTTTTTTAATTGTAAAAAGCTCTGGCTATAAAGTGTTTTTAGTATGAATTGGAAAAAACAAAAAAAAAACAAAACTAATTTACATGAGGAATGACACTTTCATTAAGGGCTAGCAGAGTGAAGCCATCTGCCCAGTACATAACAGAGCAACTCTCAGAATGTCCTTAACAAAAATTCCTGTTAGCCACTAATTTATTCGTACCCTTAACCTGTACCCTGTAAAGTATATCCTTTTGTTTATATTTTGCACATTGCTTATTGCAACTTTGTATATGGTTTAAACTTATTTAAAATTGTATCATTAAATACTTTGCCCCATTCTAAATGTTACCTGTTCTATACAGGCTGTATATGTATCAGATTTCTTCAAGGAGAGAAATTCTCCTTTTAAAGAAAGAAAAGAAGAGGACTCTCATACAACTCTGCATGAAACACCAACGACAGGGAATCACTATCGGAACACTCACCAACCTTGAAGGTGGCAGAGTGCCCAGATGAAGCTGGCCTGCTTTCTAAAGGAAAATGATTGCAACCAGAAGGCAAGAGGATGCGTCCTTCTTCCCAGTATACAAGCCTTTAAGGGGACTGCTGCTACTGTAACTCTTGGATGCCCACTTTACCTGTGTGTATATAGTTACATTTAACACAATGGTTATCTAATAGCTCTAAGTTCATTACAAAAAATTTCAAGCCTTTCACTAAAACAAATGCCCCACCTGTACATTTTTTTATTAAAAAAATGTAATGCTTATGTACAACTGTGTATGTAATATGCTTTCTTAGAATGATGCTTGATTTAAATATAATACATCAGACAGGTGGTGAACAATTTAAAATCCCACATTCCTTTAGCTGACTCTTTATAGGTAGAGGCTGGCAGCAAACACAATATCTCTCTTGATTTTGGTGATTCCTAAGAGAAAAGAAAATACAGTTTAAATTCTCAAGACCACAAAGAATGTAATTCTTCTCCCCTGGGGTTTTGAAGACAGCACAACAATCCTGATTAAATTTGGTGAGAGGGCAAGCCTGGAAAATACAAAACCTTGCTTGCCTGAAGGACACCTAGAGGAGTTCACAGCCACCTCTGAGAGATGGGAAACTTAGAAACCAGACCCCTGTTCTCATGACTCTTGAATCTAAAGTACCCCGTGCGTGCGGGGGTGTCTAAAATTATTCAGAAAGACCAGACCAGAGGGACTAAGCTGTCCAAGAAGTTAGTTGACCCAAAAGCATGAATTTTTCAGCCTGCAATGGAAGGCACTATATTTCAGTTACCATGTGAAATTCTTTCTGGACTAAGGACAAACACATTTTATCATATAGAAGTTTACAAAACTAGACTTAACCCTGGAGTGATTAAATAGGTCTGCCTCTCTTTAACAATGTTGAAGATATAAGCAGCTTTCATAAGCTTCTTCTTAAGGCGCTGAGTTGCCAGCAGAATCACCAGGTTTGACTGTGAGCAGCTGGTAACTCAGAGCAACTATGTGGCTGCTCTTCTTTGATGTTTTAACTCATAGTCCTTTCTCTTGGCCAGCATTCAGATGGAATGAATGAAATTATTTGCAAGCATGTATGCCTCTCCCCATTACTACCTCCTTGGTCTAGCCATTCTTTCCTGATCTGGTCTTCCTGCTTCCACCTTGCTAATCTACAGACTTGCCTGTGATGCAACAGCAAGAACTGCCTTGTGAAACCCAAGTCAGAGCACATCACTCCTGTGTTCAAAACCTCCAATCATTTCAGAGGAAAAAGCTGAGGGCTGGGAGCTACATGACCATTTCTTTTCTTCCTCCAACCCCTACTATTCTACTCATTGTTCAGCTGTGCTCCATCCACACTGGCCTCTTGTTGTTGCTTAAGTATATCAAGTGTCTATGAAGGACCTAAATGCCACCATCTGAGTAGGGGACCCTAGGCCATCGTATCCATCCTCCAATTCCCTACTGTCTCTTCCTTTGTTTTTATTGCTACCTGATATATTTTAATTGTTGACTTGTTTACTGTCCACCTCCCTGCACTAGAATGTGAGCCCCATTAAGGCAGGGGTTTGTATCTTTTTTGTTCACTGCTGTATTCCCTGGTGCTTAAAACAATGTCTGGCACACAATAAGTGCACAATAAATATTTTGAGATTTTATATATATTCATTTACAAACTTTTTCCAACACACACACACACAGATATTTTCTTTGGACACTACTACATGGCCCTTCATGGCAATCCAGTGAAGAGCATCTGAAAATGTTCTCCTAGGTTGTGGTCAAGAGCTCAAGTCTCAACAGGATTTGCCTAAATTATTAGAAAAAGCTTATGGGCTGGATACTGACCTTCTGAAAATTTATTTTCCAGCTCAGTGTTTCCAATGGCTTTTGCTGCTTGACACATTTGTCGAAGTAGTTCTTCCAGGCGCCTCATACAACGAATTATGCTGCCTGGACAGAAAAGGAAACAAATCACTTGTAAAGTGTAAATAATCAGGAATAGCAGAACTTTTGTGAAGACGCAAGGAAGGTGAACATGGGATGATTTAACTGATTGATAGTACTTTGAGGGACTTCTCCTGCAGTAAACCAGTAGTAAACTTGACTGGTGACTGCTAGGCACCAGGAAGGCTACAAAGATGAAAAGTTTAATTCCCATCCTTGACTAATGGTAGAGAGAGTCATGGATTTATTATGATGTGTTCACACTTGCTCTTAGAGAGGTAAGTAAACAAAATGCCCTGGGAGCACAGGAGAGAGCAACATGGGTGAAAGGTAGCAAAGGTGACATATAACTTGGGTCTCTTATGAATGAGGTCCCTGTCAGGCAGTGACAAGGGAAGACCACTGAGACAATGTAGAAAAGCAGCTATTCAAGGACCCTGAGTGTGGCCTACTACGGCCTCTGGATACTATCCTGTGAAGAGAATGCAACAGGGAATTTTTTAAGCAGGGGAATAACAGGATCAGATTTGTCAATTTTAAAGGTGCAATCAATCATTCTTCTGGACCTTAGACTCTTTCATTAGTGCTTTCCTCACACAATGTGTCCTCAATGAAGCATAAGAGAGATCAGTCTCTTCCCACTGGATGTGACTCCGACTGAGACAAGTGTTTGCATCAAAGGTGAAGTTGTAAACAGTTTCACTTCTGTCAGACTTGCACAAGGAGGGGCCCTGAGATCCTTCCTCTTAAGTGCCACCTGCCTAAGTTTAAAACCCTTGGATTTAATTTTTAATGTCTGAAATACATTAGGAATATCAGTTCTCTCTGATATGCAAGCTGTTAACTCACACTTCAGGTCCTTATTTAACTCCTTGCAACACTGGAAGAATTCATTAACATGTATCAAGCTCTTGTAATACACTCGATGTGCAGTGTTGAGGGCTCCTTTTTACCTTTTAATGCCTTGCACATTATGGTACAGTGTGCCCAAGGGAGAAAAACAGTAGAGAGATTTAACTCATAAAGCAGAATGGAATTTGAGCTTAGACAAAGGCAAAAATATAAGCCATGTACCTAAGAGAGTCATTAGGATTCAGCAGGAAATGCCCATGTACATGTACAGCACCTTTTCTCTCTGAGAAAATGTTGCACGAGGGCCTGGGCTGATAAGGACAACATGCCTGGTTTCTGAACCCACCTATGGGCCAGAGCAAGCAGAACACAAAGATGCTAGTTCACAGCAAGAGGTTTATGGGATGAGATTGGTCAACAGGAGGACCACCAGCACGTATGTCAACTTGAAAGATCAATGGGGATACCTCTCTTAAAAGGATGCTATCATCTCCTACTTATGGGATGTTCACCTAATCTAGACTTGGTTATAAAAGGAGTGAGCTGAGACACCTGGAGTTAGAGGAAAGAAGACTGGATGGTGACCTGGATACTAGGAAAGATTCAGCTAAGTAATTAGCTCTATGATCTAGGCCCTTACTCTACTCTTATTTCCCCTTCTCATTTGTAAGGTAAATGACGATAAATGCAATTTAAACAGAGGGCTTACTTTACCTAACTGGATTTGTCTCACTTGAGATATGAGATGCACAAATTCTGTGACAGGGGCAAAGCTCTAAAGGAATGTAAGGTCATAATACAGTCCTTAAACCAAAATATTCAAAGTTCATACTTTATTGTCCTTCCTCTTCTCCCATTAGAAGGTCCATGGAGTTCTTGGAGAAGTAGGGTCAAGACTGACATCTCACCTCCACATCTACACACATCTTACAATAACCCTGGCCTTCTTATTATAGGAGAGTAAAGTAATTAATGTTTATAATAAGACTTAGGCATCAAGGAAAGGTGAAATAAGGCTGAGCATGTTTCAAGAAAAAAGGGTTAGAAAAGGGTTATGTCCAACATTTTCTGAGTACTTACTTTGTGGCAGGTCTATAATCTATGTTTTGTGTAAATTTTCTTGTTTGACCCTTACAGTTCCATGAGACAAGTACTGTTATCCCTATTTTACAAAGAGGGAAAAGAAGCTCAGAGAAATTATAACTTGACCAAGGTCAGAGCCGGGAGTATATGATGGAGTCAGGATTTAAATCTAGACAGTTAGATTCTACAGCCTAAGCATTTAACCATATTATACTATAGTACCTCACAAACATGATTTATCTATATTTTCTATAATAAATGTATTACTTTCATAAATTTCAGTTTTAATTAAATTCAGTTTATACATTTAAAATAATCGAGAAAAAATTGTAAATATTTAGTAAGATTTTCAGGTCATACTCTAAGCTCCTCACTTCTGTTATAAATCTTCATTGCCAGGTAATGCCAAAGAATTTGCAGTAATGGGTTTCAAGAAGTAGGAAGTAGTGGCAATTGGCAAGTAGGATCCAGTCACAAAGAGTCTGTTTTCTTAATTCGGCAATCAGAGTAATGACTTGTGATAATTTCAGTGAAATGGGGGACTAGGTTACTATGGCTCAAGAAGGAAATGGGAGGTAGGGAGTTGAAGATGGTCTATTCTCAACTACTCTTTCCAAGCCTGGCTTGTGAAAGGATTGAGGGATTGAGGATGATGATGACAACAAGATAACTCACTAAAAAATGATGGCAGCAGCTAACACTTACTACTTTGTGCCAGGCACTGTACTAAAGGCTCTACATGCATGATATTAACCTCACAATACGAGATAAGAGCTATTATTATTACCATTTTATAGCTAAGGAAACAGGCACAGTTAAGTAACTTTCCCAGGATCATTCATCTAGTGAGTGGGTAGGATTTAAGACCAGGATATATATGCTCTTGCTCTTAAACACTGTATGTTATGTTGGTAGCTGGAGAAGACGTGGATGAGAAATATAAACATATTCGTATGCTAAAATGGCAGCAGAAAGGATGTGACTCAAGACTGCAAAGGTGCAGAAAACAGTGGAAGGCGGCCCTGGAACTGAGTGCAATTTCCTCTGAAGAGGAAAATAAGGGAAAGGATATATGCCATGAATTTCTAGGTTAAGACAGGCCTAGTGGCATCTCCCTTTCCTCTGAAGCAGGAGTGATCACCTAGAAATCTGGGGCAAAGTTGAGGTAGATGCTTAAGAGAGCAGTGAGGATCTGGAATTGCCTCTACGAGAAGTCTCAGAGCCAGAGAGAAGTCCTGCATGGAGGACATAGTCTCTGGACGTGGACCAGGGATTACATGCATGATGTTAACCTCACAATACGAGATACGAACTATTACTCTTCCCACTTTATAGCTAAGCAAACTAAGTAGTAGATGGCATCTACTACTTGAGGGACTGTACTAGCAAGCTGTGGGCAAGACTACACGAGGTAGTGTTCAAAGTGTACCCAGCCGGTGCTCAACAGTCTCTCCTCCTCCTGCTACTTCTATTATTACTAGGTTTAATGTGATTCTGAGGTTACAGACTGTGGCTTTTGATGACACCAAATCATACAATTATTCTCCAGCAGAACTCTGCTGTGAAAGTACAGGAATAGAGAAAGTGAATTATTAGACTGATCCAGGTTGGTGGTGCATAAGGCAGATGGGAAAACAAGAATATCAGTGGCTTCCTAATTCTCTCTCCATGACTAGAAAAAAGGAACTGTGGTTCAGAAGGAAAGTTCTCTAAGCAGTGGCTGTGTCCTCTCCACAGCAGGTCTCCAAGAGAATGAGGAAGCAGCTATGTGATATCTACCTGGTGTTTACTTCCTGTTACTGAGACAACTCATTCTGACACCAATAAACTATATTAAGATTTTGAAAATTAACAGAACAAACACTGCTCCTTTTACTAGCAACCTTTAACAGAAGAAAATAGTGATTTCACTGAAGATGTTGTTTCCAAGTAGGAGGAGACTGTCGTTAGCCACATCCAACATTCTACTACCATTTTACAAATGAGAAACCCTAGAGATGGTTAATGCTTTTCAGGTTCAGGTTAACAGTTTTACATCTAGGTTTAGAAAAGAAATCTGACACCCTCATTGGAAATGGCAGAGATAACCGTATTAGCCACCCTTTACAGCAATGGCTTCCCTTTAAACTTTGAGGCTAAGAGTTCATGGAAGAAGAATCTTGGACCTTTACAAGCTGAAACCTTTATAAAAGTTGAAGATAGTAGTTTGTTTTTGCTGTGACCGTGGCTGAGAAAATTATGAACAGACAGGACCAGGGAAGGAGAAAGCTCAATTAATGGCCTAAATGAGGAAGAGGGAGAGGGAGAGGGAGGGGGAGGGGGAGGGGGAGGGGGAGGGGGAGGGGGAGAGGGAAGGGGAGGGGAGGGGGAGGGAGAGGGAGAGAAAGCAGGTCTGAATGGCATCTGGAGGACAGTTACCTGGGTGAGACAGGATAAAAATGCACAAAACAGCCTGAAGTTGCAATGGGGGAAAGGATGGGGCTGAAATCAAAACCATGAAGCAAACACAACCAACCAGCTTTACAAATATGGGTAAGAAGAGGACTAGCCTATTCCCTAGGAACAGGAGGCTGCCAGATGGACACCAGCCACTGTAGGATCAGAAGGGAGCATCTCCTAGCTCCACTGGTAAATTCATGACTTGAGAAATGGATAGCACCTTTATCTCTTCCCCTGGATGAGTGTTGCAGCTCCTACTCCCTCTTCCATTGGGCCCCCATGTGCAGGCACAAGCGACACAACAAGGGCACGTAAGGAGCCTATCCCCCACCCACTGCATCCCAGGAGGAACGGTGCTCCTCTACTGCTTAAAAATCTTTTGATACCATTAATGCAAATGCTAGTAGGAGCACTGGTGAGTCTGTTTCAGTCCTGATTCAAACATAAGGTTCTGGATGGTCCATGTGTGATATTTCTGTATTAGGATAATCACTTGTAGACCCTACGTTTTATCTTTAAAGGTGGTATTTCACAAACTTCAGTCATTAGCGTATCACTCATTTTTGCTGTAACACTTTTAACTTAAGTAAATGAAAGCTGCTCACTTATTTTTTATAAATAGGCCATAATTA